CAAAGAGAAAGACTGTACAAAGAGAAAAAATATGCGCTGCATGCGGAATACCGTTGTATGACACGTGGACACAAGGTCCGAAACAAGGTAGAAAAATGCAGGAAAGGGGAAGAGGAAACATGCGTGACAGAGGTGGAAGAACGTGTCAGAGGCAGTCCAGAGAAAGAAAGTAGAGAAGAGAACAAGGGAAACGTACGCGTGACAGAGGAGGACGGATCTTGATCTTGTCAGAGGCGGCTGCGGGCTAGGAGATCGTGGCGGTTGATCGGCGGATCGGTGGATCGGCGGATGGTGGGCTGGTGAGGTCGTGGGCTTGGGCGCCTGCTCAATCTGGGCCGCGGAGGTCGAAGGCGCGATGGGCCTGCTCCATTCCATCCATACAGCAACTCCGACTCAGCGCAGTGTCAGGGGTCACCAATTATGGTGTTTTACGTCAACCATGACGGCTACAATGGCCAACCAGACCACAACGAAGTTGGGGCCAAAGAGAAAGTTTATTTCTTTCACGTGAAAATATTATACAGGGGCCATTTTTACGAAAAATGATTTATGTATACAAAAATGCATGTACATGTACGAGGTCACTACACGCGTACCGGTAGTGACGTCACAGAGCGTGGAGAAGAAAACTGTTACACTTACAGTACTGACGTTGCTGTTAAAGGGGAAGTCCGGTGAAAAATTTAAATTTCACAGTCCGTAGAGTTCGGGGCGCTGAGTCGAATGGTCTTTGTCCGAGGAGGCTGCGGCCTATGGTTCGTCAGATACGCCCAATCGAACATGTGCGAATTTGAGCGCGCATCACCCAGATCCAGGTGATGACGTCACAGCGTGCAGCCAGGTAGCCACACCATCTAATCGTGTACAAAATGGCCATATTCGGAGCGCGTTCGATTGGGGAACCGTTTGTCGCAGCTTCTTCGGACCAAGACCATTCGATTCAGTGTTACAAACACTACGTACCCTGTGATTTGCAGCTCGGTAAACCTCGAGGTTATACCGTATTTTAGCCGTTTCCGAGTTGGACTTTTTCCGTTAGTGCTCTACGGCTCCAGCAATGCGCTGCGTGCATGCTAGCTGTAGTCAGGTAGTGCAGTCAACAAACTCATCACACACGGAACTACTCCCGCCCGCACTGCCGTGCGGGGCTAGCTACAACAAGACTCGAGACACAAGATCAGACTCAGAAAACTAGTCAACACACGGACTTGTCATGTACTGCACTCGACTCGTATCAGTGTACAGTCATGCAGTCTGAGAACGTGCGTTTCTCCTTGCCGGTGCCGGTGGTTGTGCTTTGAGAAAGAAAATTTTAGTTTTCCGCTCCAGTCCGGCCTCATTATTTTATGCTACAGCGATGAGTGCACAACCGTGACAAGTGACAAAACAGCGAACAGCTCCCGGACCTAGAACTTTCAGATTCCATAGCGTTGCGAGCGAAGAGTCGTGCCCGCGGTTCAAAGAGCCTGCAGTAGTCCGAAATATGCCAAGTTCGCACCAAAACATCACCATGTGGCAGGCTACTGGAGTCTAAGCGAATCGGTATGGAACAACATTTAGAGCACTCGCATCACTCTTCTCCATTTTGGCGACCCTGCTCTCCAGCGATTTGATAATTATATCAGCCTCGTCTGCAATAGCTGCTGCTTCTTCATCAGTCGGAAACTCAGTAGCGCTCACTCTTGACCGGCCCGCGCGGCCATTTCTTCAGCTGAATACCGAGGTTCTCAGCCCCAGACCAAACTCATGAAGGTCAGCCATGGCTGCATCCTCACTCTCACAAGGAGTTAGGTCTTCGGGGTCGCTTGCACCACCTAATATCAGTCGCCAAGACTCGCCAACTCATTTGAAATAGCACTGACACTATTGCTTTCACGCACTCCTTTTGACCTAGCTGCACGCTATGACGTTGCGGAGGGTGTGGCGCGGCCGCATGACGTCATGGCGCAGCCCCCGAAACTCAGTTTTTCAAACGGAAATATCTCGAGAACGCTTTGTCGGAGACACGTGGGACCAACACCATTCGACTCAGCGCCCGAAACTCTACCGACCCTGAAATTTAAATTTTTCACCGGACTTCCCCTTTAATACAGTGCTGGCAACTGAAATCCGACCCCCTGAGCGATGAGTGTACATTCCAGCGGTCTCTATTTCGTAGTTTTACAATCCCGTGTTGGGTCTTTGCGATGTGAGCGCACCGCTCAGGGTGTCGGATTTCAGTTGCCAGCACTGTAGTTTACAGTAGAGAGTTTATGCTTCAAGTTTGTTCAATATCGAACGTGAGAAAAATGGTGTGCTGAATCGCTTTTGTCACCGTGAGTTGGCGCTCTGTCGCGCTGAAATCTCACGTTGCAACGTGAGGAGCGCCATTTTGGCAGTGACATCTCACGTTCGAAATTGAAAAAAAAAACCTTGAAGCGTACGTAAACTCTCTATTATCCCTTATCCAACAATTCTTCTCATCCGAACAGGGTAGTTCCCCTGGAAGCAGCCCTGCACCCCTTGTTGCGGATCATCAGCGCTCTACCGTACTCAATCTCGTGTTTCGATATTCTGTATAATTTTGTAGGTCTCCTTAGCGTAGCTCACAGATAATGGCAGCAACGATCGCAAGGAAGTCTAATGAATGAAAACCACTAAACCAGTTCAAAGCGTCAAAGTCTTAGTGGTGGGCTTGTAACTGCGATAAACACAGCGAGTTTTGCACTAGCAGCTAATGTAATACTTGGTATATATTTCCTTTAGCCAATTATTCGCTTGAGAGACATGCATGCAAGTCACCCGCGGCCAAGTCAATTATTCCCTTTCTTCACCCATTGTGCAAACTGAAGCTGGATACAAATCTATTTCATTCCTTTGTTCTGACCGCCTTAATGCGCTTCCCGCATCTATTCGCACTAATCATATGCCCAATTCATTTCGCCAGGACTCATTTAACACATTCCTTCATATAGATACCCCAGTAAGAAGACCTTAGCGTCTTTTGGGAATGTCCAAGTAAACTACTTAACACATGTAAAGATTTATAGAAAAGAATAAAGACCAAGGAACTACAAATTACGCTATAATGTCCACTGACACCACGGCACCGGTTACTAAACAATCAGCTCGTGGGACAACATTGCACGCCACTGACCAACGGTACTGACGTTCACCACTAACTGGCTAACAGCTCTAGCACATCTTGGATGCGCACTCCAACAGCCCTTCGACCAGGAAGGTTCTACTTCAAGTAAGTTATAATATCCGCCAGCATCCTTCGCAGCTGACACTCTCAGCTCGTGCTAGTCTTGGTTGCGCTCACCTTCCCCTCTTAGGTTATCATTCCAACTTGCTCTCTCTGGGGAAGCGTTGGGAAAATACGCAGAGACTCACAGCAGAGTGCTAGGCCGTCGCCGGCCTGCCACTCAGCCAAACTAACTGCATACAAACGCCACTGCACCGGACAGCTGCTGAGTCCGTACCACTGTGTTCGCCAGTGACACTGTTCTTTCGTCTATGAGCAACACGTGCATTGATTCCCCTATGTATAACGGCAACGAGTTCCACTCCGAATTTGCGAACCGTGCGCAGAATAGCGTGCCACAGTCGGCAATTTGACTACAATGGCAATGCTACACCGTCAGGAGGTAGCTTGGGAATTCCCGCACCGGGGAATGCACTGCTGGAGCATGCCCATGTATGCTGGCAGATTCCCGAACGGTAGCGTGGAACGGAATCATCGTATGTCTATCGGATTGTCTGATGATTGCCTGTGCAGGGGCGTCGCACACTGCACGCTCACTACGCCTACGGTATTGGCCGTACCACTTTTTGCCCCAGATACCCCGTGAATCAACAATATACACTGATCTGGGATCTAAAATTCCAAAATTGTCCGCTCAGCCACCCCTCCCCCACGAGTAAATTGTACTTCAGATGGCTGACCGTGCCACACTAAAAATACCTTCCGACACCTCTGCTATGGGCATGAAACTATGAGCTACAGCGAATGATGCGTTGTGCTCTGTGCCGTGTGTGTCGGAGAGATCTGTAGTGTAGGTATCACTCAAGGCGCCGCTTAGTACCCTAGTTTCTCTACTGCAAAAGGTATGCCTCAAACCCCAGGGGTCCCGGATAATTATAATAAAAATTCGCGGGATCCGCGTTTTAGCATCACTTGAATGTTCAGAAGCACCTTCAGCGGCGAATGCAGACCTCACAAGTGAGTCAGGGGAGAGCTAGAGGAGCTGAGTCTCTCAACCAATCGGGCGTGTAACGGCCCATAACCCTGTAAACTGCATTCTTGTTATCCTCACTCCGAGCTGTGGAGTGTGGGTACCAGTTGCCCGTGCACGCGTGGGTGTCGGCGCAGTTCTCTTTACACGCTCCCTGCTGCCAACGCGGGTCTCGGTATGCATAGGATATTGGGACACAGACTCCGGGACAGGTCTGCCATACCGTGTTCGGGGAGGCTGCTGAAGTTCAGCATGAGGTAGATCACGACGTGACAATATCAAGATAACAAGTTCGTTACTGAGTATAGAGGTTCAACGTCATCCGCGCGCACACACACACACACACACACACACACACACACACACACACACACACACACACACACACACACACACACACACACACACACACACACACACACATACACACACACACACACACATACACACACACACACACACACACACACACACACACACACACACACACACATTACAGCTGGTCTTCTACAAGGCGGTCGATTAACAGACGAGCACACCGGCAGAACCATAGCTATTCAGACATGTACATGATCATACATTACTTACATGAGTACATGTACAGGCACACACATACAATGTACATTTATGTACACGCACGCACATACATGTACATGTACATGTATGTGCGTGCGTGTACAACGTCATACTCTAACGGTGTGACATGCATGCAAGTCATCGCCAATTGCTCTGCTCCACCGGAGTCTGGGAGAAAGAGCGGTTTGCGGCAAGCGTCTACCCCAATCGGCCGGACATCTTCGTAGTGAATCGCCATTTTCATCTTCAAACCTACATGTACATGTGCATATGCCGCAACCAGCATGCAACGCCAAACAAGTATATAAGCTAGATAGTTGTTGACAATAAACATCCGTCGATAGCTCACTCTGTCAGAGAAACAAAGCAGCTGAAACAAGAAGCAACTGTTACTTTGTGCAGCTCTGTCCTTTCCTCGAGATGAAGGTTGCTTTCGTTCTGGCCTTGTGCCTGTTGGCCGGTACGTTCGTCCGCTCCATTCCCCTGGACGTGTCGTCACAGGATGTGGCTGAGGTGAGAGTCCTGTCATTATGTAACGCTACTGCGTTGTACCAAGTCTACATGAAAACCAGAGTGAGCAGCTCGGATGGGTTGCTGTCACGGCGGAATTCCGTGATTACATCATCTTAGTGATGTAGACTTGTAGTGCGTACAAGCAGGATTCAAGCAGGTCTCTTTCCATGCTTTCTGCACAACTGCAGCTCAGTTGTACGCACTACGCCATTTTCCGCCTCAGATCTGCGCCAAATATGATGTAATCACGGAATTCCGCCGTGACAGACACCCATAGCAGAAAAAGCCCCAAGCTGCACACTCTGGTTTTCATGTACTCTTGGTTGTACTTGTGTGTGCGGGGGAAGGGGGCTGCTGCATTATTTATTTTGTTCTTTCTACAAAATCTGCATATCCCCAGACTCTAGGGTGAATAATGGAGTGCGGTGGGTATACCGGGAACCCCATTTTCCCGCGATCGAGATGCGGTGTCCCTTCAACATCCATTGTAAATCTGCACAAGAGTTACACAAGCGAAAGACTGGCTTTTTGTTGTTAGTCAGAGTTTCATGGTAACACCCTGTAGTCCGACAGCAGCATTGAGCGTACTACCTCCGTGTGATATGCAGATCTAACGATGAGTTGGGGAAGATGTTTATTTTTTTAATTTTTTTTTTTTAGTGTTTAGTTATGAGTACATGTATATGAAGAATCCACGTGCAGCTCTCTAAATCACAAAATTGTTTGCGGCTAGAAAGCGTGTGTGATGTTGAACTTGTATTGATGGAAATTTGACAGACAGAATTATGAGGTAAAGTTCTGAAAAGTCCAATGATTTATAAAAATAATAAACTTCAAAGTTAATTATCGTATCCACGTTTGTTCGCGCTCGCGATGCTGGACAAATTACTGGTGCTGTGCTTGTGGATATATCCAAAGCATTTGACAAGGTCAGGCACCAAGTGCTCATTAATGATTTGTTTGAGCTTCGCATATCTGGTTCAGTATTAGTTTGGTTTGCCGACTATTTGTCCAATCGTCGCCAAATAGTGCACATTGCTGAGAACTGTAGCTCTCCCTTCCCCTGCATGTGTGGCGTTCCCCAGGGCTCTGTTCTTGGTCCGCTGCTTTTTGTACTCTATGTTCGTTCGAGCCAGTCCATTGTCTCCGAGTTTTGTGTGAAAGTTATTCAATTTGCTGACGATATTCTATCGTATGCTTGCGGTACGCAGAAGAATGCGCTTAGCAACTCCCTGTCTGCAGTTGTCTCAGCCAGTAGTACCTAGCTGTCAAACCGCAATTTAATTATAAATGCCCGGAAGGCACAAGTGCTCTTCCTGTCTATGCCACATATTACTGACCACCAATTTGCAGTGTACTGTCATGGAGTGCAGCTCAAGCACGTTACTTGTGCAAAGTACCTTGGAATACATTTGGACCAGGATCTTTCTTGGAGGACTTAAGTTGATTCTATGGTCACCAAACTTGCCACTAAAATTGGTATTCTGTTCCGAAATCGACACAATATTCCGCTGACTTGCGGAGAAACTTTTGTAAAGTCCCTAGCGTTGCCAGATTTTCTATATGCTTCAGGTTGTTTTTCTACTAGCCTTTCCTTAACCCAGTTAGGTAGGCTTGAACGAATGCTAAAGCCAGCTTTGCGTTCAGTGTACGATACTGGTTTTTGTAGTGCCATAAAGTCTTTTATTTGCGAGGCTTGGTTTAGATCGTTTGGCACCCATGTATTCTTCGTATTGTGGGATGGACAACACCAAGAGAAGATGTAGAGATAACTATTTACTCACTCTGCGGACGGAACTGTTTCGTCCTTTGTGGACTCGTCAGCGCAGCACAGAGAAAATGAGGCCGAACCTGATAGCAATGAAAAATAGATTTTCCAAAGCCGGATTTAAGTCCTTTACGGTATAACCAGTGTATGCCGGACCCTGTACCAAGCGTGATCCTGTATTGACAGGACAGTTTTTCATGCACCATAGTGCGGTGGATCGAACGTACATGTACATCCCTGGACCAAGCGGAATCCTGCCATATCCGGGCAATTTCCGCTGCACCTAGGGCATCCGGTTGGGGCAGGTTTCACTATATACAGTAAAACCTGTCAATGCGACCACTCGGATAAGGCGACCACCTGTCCTGGAAGACCACAGGAACCAGGACCAAGGGACTCTACTTCCAGTCAATTGACCCTGGATAAGGAGACCACTTGGTAATGGAGACCACAATTTGAAGGTCGCTCAGAGTTTGTCCCAGACCACGCCACCACTCTCCTTATTCATGGCTCACACATGACGGGTTTACGTGGCTCTAGTAAAAAAAAGAAGAAAAAAGTGTGTCAATCACTCATAGGGTTCCCTGTAATAAGACGACACCGTCTGTAGGGTTCCCCTATTACATGTAAATACTATTACATGATTGTACTACTATTACGCCTTCATTTCACTGAAGGCACTTAAAGAGGGCCGGGTTAATTATCTCTTTCCCATCTTTCTCTGTCACTGTGGGCATGGGGCCCATTTTTGACTAGCAAACAGGATGTGCGCAATTGGATCCGGGCATTCGTGTAAATTTGCACAAACATTTCGGCGCACTTACATATGTATGCGTTGCCTGAAAGACGAAAAGGATGTTCTGTTCGACGATTCGCAGTAGCGTGCCGAGTAGTAGACTTGATTATGACACGTGTATTTTGGAACTCCAATTTTTCTTTAAGAATGAACTCCTTGAGCCTCTTGTACGGGCAAATAACACATTAATTTTGTGAAGAATCAACACAATTACATAAAAAATGGAAGTCCAAATAGGCTCAGCGGTTTCAGGGAAAACACTAGGGAAGATGTGATGCATCATACCTGTACAATTTCAGGAAAAGATTCTGCTTGGCGGTATTTGTGTGCAATCTCGTGCAGCGACTTAAAACTCTATGATACCGTTAAGAAATCCACACATTTTCCTCATGTAGCTGAATGAAGGCATACGCCAATACGTCACATCAATTCTTACTTTTCACTAAGGTTACACGTTTCCCTACTGTTTGCATTAGATAAAGCAGGATGCTTTCCCTACTGTTTGCATTAGGTAAACCAGGATGCTGTCGAGATCACTAAGCGTGATGCTGCTGTTGAGCTGGATGCGCTCAACGACGAAGATGAAGATGCCATTGACAACTTCGAAGAAGATGAGGATGAGGATGACGTCATGGACGATGATGAGGATGAGGATGACGTCGACGAGGACGAGGATGAGGATGACGTAGAGTATGACGAGGATGAAGATGACGAGGCCGATGAGCTGGACATGGAGGATAACGAGGCTGGGTACACGCCAAAGGGTGGTGACGTCACTGTGTTTGCTGGTGGCTCAGATGGCGACGGAACTGGTGGACTTGACGGCAGCATTGACGATGGTCTTGGCAGTGATGAAGGTGGACCAGGCGGAGAACCAGACTTGGGCAGTGATGAAGGTGGACCAGGCGGAGAACCAGACTTGGGCAGTGATGATACTGGCGATGTTGGTGGAGGCTCTGATGAAGGCGAAGTCGAGCCCACAGACGACAGTGGAGTAAGTAAACCAGCAGTGACTAGCTCCACTGTCCATCCTGGTAAAGGCCCCCGCACACGCCCACCCACGATTCTTCCCACGAGCAAATACTATGGTGGACGCCGTGTGGGAAACCGCCGAAACAACCGACGCAACAACCGACGCAGCATCCGTCGAAGCAGCCGCAGCAGCAGCCGCCGCAGCAGCCGCCGCAGCAGCCGCCGCAGCAACCGCAATAGCCGCCGTAACGGCAGCCGCAACAGCAGCCGCAACAGCAGCCGCAACAGCAGCCGCAACAGCAGCCGCAACAGCAGCCGCAACAACAGCCGCAACAACAGCCGAAAGAACAGGCGCACTGGAGGTCGCAAGAACACCCGTAGATCTGCAAATCGCCGTGCCAAGTACTACTCTAAGAAGGGGTAAATTAAACTCACTCATCATGCCAAAGCATAGCCATGGTTGCATAGCACGATCACATTTTACCAGTCTGCACTGATCGCACAGCAGGCTATACATTTAGTTTCAGGCTATACCTATGGCAGAATTTTCAACAACAGAGCAGGCAAGCTGGTATGTGCATTCTCCCACTTAAGTAATCAGCCCTATGGTTTCATTTTGCGTCCTACGCACGTGACTCTTGCTGCTGAACAGATGATCACAAAACATAATCCTATAAATCCTCATATGACAATACAATTAATTTATGACCCGCGCTGTTACACGCACCACTTCCTCGCCGAGCCAGCTCTCCCCTCCCCCGCCACCCCCGCCACCCCCGCCCGCCTCTTCACACAGTACACAGGTTTTTAGTTTAGCCGAGCACGAGCACGAGGACGGCCGCAACACTATCGGCACTGTTAGTTGTGTTCCATGAGAGCTGTTCCGCCATCGTCTGCTTCCGACTAGTGCCCGCTAGTTACCTTTTCCCGCTCTCGTAGCAATCATTATACCTCCCTCTTCCCAATTCCTTCTCGCCTGGATAATACTATTCACAATAAACATTCGAAGTACAGTGAAACCTGTCTAAGAACGACCGCTCAAGGGACCTTTGAAACGTGGTCTTTGTTACCAGGTGGGCTCCTTATTCAGGGTCATTTCACTGGAAAGAGCATCCCTTGATTCTGGTTCCAGTGGTCTTGTACGACAGGCGGTCGCCTTATCCGAGTGGTCGCCTTGACAGGTTTCACTGTAATCTGGTGATGTACTGTAGCTTGACTCAAACCTGTAGGCGTGTAGATATCATGTGACGTGTAGATATCATGTGACGTGTAAATATCATGTGACGTGTAGATATCATGTGACGCGTAGATATCATGTGACGTGTAGATTCATACATGGTTAGAACACGTGCGTTGTTGAGCTATCATTGCTCAGACTGGTTAAACGGTGGTTCGAATTTACAGGACGCGGAAAGAGCTTCCACGAAGGCATAATTATGTTGGGCACCTTCACAGACGCACTGCACTGGCTGATCAAATGTGTGTGTGTGTGTCTCTCTCTCTCTCTAATTGGCTCTGCTGTAGTACAGGCATCCAACAGCAAATACGAAAGAATAAGAATAATAAGAATGGACTCAGATGGAGAGCCAAGGTTTAATTTATACAAAAGGGAAAGACCAAGGAACTACAAGTTACGCTATACTGTCCACTAACACCACCAGTTGCTAAACCTTTCCCTCCTTATGTTATTTCTATAACTTAGAACCTTCCAAATTGGAAGGCTGTTTGAGTGCGCATCCAAGATGTGCTAGAGCTGTTAGCCAGTTAGTTGTAGAACGTCAGTACCGTCGGTCAGTGTCGTGCAATGTTATCGCATGAGCTGATTGTTTAGTAACTGGTGGTGTTAGTGGACAGTATAGCGTAACTTGTAGTTCCTTGGTCTTTCTCTTTTGTATAAAACAATAATGATAATAATAATTTAATAATAGCAATGAAAAGTATGAATGCCGCAGACATCACCACGCAACATGACAATTTGTTCAAGGTTTGGTTTTGTGTGTTTCCAAAATCGATTTTCACGTTCCGATCATCAGTGGAAATACGGAACTAAAGAGATCAAGGGAAAAACAAAGGTTAAAAATCCAAAGAAGTGTGACACATGACGGGTAACTTGTGGTAAGTTTTACAAAAAGTGAGAACTAAAATAAAGAGTAAGTGTGACAAACGGGCATGAACAGTGCAGAAACAACTCATGAACACGGGGTGCAAACTCACGAAAATAACCTAAGTGCTAAAACATGTTCTTGTCATGTTGCGTGGTGATGTCTGCGGCATTCATACTTTTCATTGCTATTATTAAACTTTTATCTCCACGTAGATTATTTGGATAATAATAATAATAATAATAATAATCTTCACTAGTTTGAGGGAAAGAGACAAACGGGAAAAGTCTGAAGAAAAAATTGACTGTCACCACCAGGACTCGAACCAGGGACCCTCGCTTGTAGCTAGCGATGCTCTAACCACTGAGCTATGGTGTAGTCGTCATCACAGCAGAGACTGTTCAACATTCTCTTCAGACTTCGTAACTCACACTTCCTGTGAATCCACACAGGCGGGTGGGACGCAGCCCTCACTGTACCCACACACTTCACGTACACTCTAGCACGCGGGGAGCCCCAAGTCATAAAATCTTCACTAGTTTGAGGGAAAGAGACAAACGGGAAGATAATAATAATAATAATAATAATAATAATAATAATAATAATGATCAACGCAATAAATAGAGTAAGCTGCGCACTCAGTATAAACACCATTAGCAAAACATGTTTCCATGTAAATATAGAAGCTTGTTTCATGAAAACAAGTTTTGCTAATGGTGTTTGTTGTAACAGGTTTAATCAAACTTGAAAAGTAAGAGGCCTGGTTGAGCGCGCCTCGACCAGTTATATGCAAAATGTGATAGTATACATGTGGCAATGGCGCCAATGAAGGTGCTAATAGACAGGCGTAAGACGCATGAGGTGCGAGGGAGTGTAAAGTTATAGAGAACAGGGGAAAACTGTTACATCATCCCCCTCCTATGGAGAGGAAGGAGCTTATAACCCAAATGCTCAAGTGGAATAGAGTACAATAAGCGCAAACACGTGCGAGACGAAAAAGGCTTCGCACTGAAGTAACACAATAAGACGACTGAAACTCCATGCAAATAAAGTGTAATAAGCTCAACAAATGTGTAAGGTGAAACTAGAAGTTCAACTGCAAAACTCAGCGGGCAGAAGCCAAGGTTTTGTACTTCTGAAGTGGAACAATGTCATTACCAGATTCATCCAACAAATAATGTTCAGGCTCCCAAGTGGCATCAGAGTAGCCTTGCCACTTGACTAGGTACTGAAGCTGATTCTGCCGGCGGCGGTGACTGAGAATGTTCTCCACCACATAGCGGGCATGACCATCAAGGTCCGTGATAGGCGGAGGCGTAGGCTGTCTCCTATTAGGAATAGCGTTCTTCTCGTAGGCACGGAGTGCCGACACATTAAATACCGGGTGACAGCGGCTGGTATGAGGCAACTTGAGCTTGTAGGCATTCGGGCCGACCACATGGGTTATAGGAAAGGGGCCAAACCACTTGGGGCGTAATTTGTGGGATGGTCGGTCCCGAGCTTCAGGAGTCAGGAGGAAATCCCGGTAGACCATTACCAAATCTCCCACCTTCAGCTTTCCCTCGACCCTTGTCCGATCTGCATAGAAGGCCTGACGAGCTTGAGCTGCCACTAGCGCATCTTGTGAGATCTTGACCGCGTCTTGTCTTGCTTGCAACCAATCAGCTGAATCTCTGCCTCCCTGAATAGGGTTGAGGAAGTCGGGTGGTGCTCTGGGATTTAGACCGTAATTTAAGAAGAACGGTGTGTTTCCTGTAGATGATTGAGTAGCGCTGTTGATAGAAAACTCACAGAGAGGTAGGAGCATATCCCAGTTATCTTGTTTATGATTTACAAAAGCCCTCAGCACATCCTCTACTATTCTATTTACTCGTTCAGTTAGGCCATCTGTCTGAGGGTGATTGGCAGTACTAAATGCTAGTTTCGTTCCTAAGCGATCAAACAATTCCTGAAAAAATGCTGCCGTAAATCTTGGATCACGATCACATACAATACTAGAACTCAAACCATGAAGTCGAAATACATGTTGAATATACAGATCAGCACTTCCTTTAGCGTCAATAGTAGAGGAAGTAGGTGCTAAATGTACACACTTTGTCAAGCGGTCTACAAATACATATATAGCATCATGACCTGTGTCGGTCCTAGGCAAACCCATGATAAAATCCATCGAGATATCCGCCCAACTGAACTTCGTTCGTACGGAAGTTGATGCTGGGGTTGTTCCTTGTAAGCCACGGCTTGCCAAGAATAGCGTCGTAGCGAGTCAGGGGGTACACAGTAAAGTGCTGTTCCTCACTGAAGCCCCCGACTGTCACCCTTAGCGTGCGTGTGGAAATCTGCGGGACCTCGCTGGTCGAGCCGTCCGCCAATGTTACGCTCAGCACTGCTGAGCTTGCATCCGTGTCAAGATGATGCTTTCGAACAAAACTGTCTGCAATGAAGTCATGCGTCGAACCGGAATCTATCAGCATCACTGCACGGCGACCGCCGATCTTTCCCTGTATGCGCAGTAGGTCGTGTTCAGGTTCATTGCCGACGCTGACGTTGCTGACATGACACCTTTCTGCAACGGGACAATTTCCTACAGCTATGGGTGTCTCCGGCTCCGTAGGTTCCTGGAGAGCAACGTCTTCAACCTCCAGAGCTCCGAACCGGTTAGCGACTGGTACCGGCGTGGGTGCTTGGGTCGTCGCCAGTAAGCGCACCCCCTTTCTTACTGGCGACCAGCGTTTGGGTAGCGCTGTCCACCCTCAGTACAGTCTTTAGCGAGGTGGCCTGGCTTCCTGCAAGCAAAGCAGTGTCCCATTGCTCGCAGTTGGACACGCTCTTGGTCCGTCAGCTTGCGGAGGCCCTGAGTCTGACCACGGAAGCTGGGCACGGAACGCGACTCTCTACTGGCTGGTGGCCCCGACGCCGGTGGCCCTGATGACTGCTCCACGGTGTTTGCTGCCATGACAGCTTGCTCCAGGGTACGTGGATGCTCACGCATGACCTGTCGCTGGATGTGCGGCACTAGACCCCTGACGAACAGCAGCGCTCTGGTGTGGTGGTCGATTTCCGGCACTTGCAGGCTGAGGCGAGTGAAAGCAGCAATGTATGCGTCCAGCGACCCGCGCTGCGCTGCGGAAATTAGTCCCATACGCGATGTTTCCTCGTTGTGCCGTGGTCCGTACACATCGCCAAGTGTCGCTTTCAGAGCAGGCCAGTCGGAAAACACTTGGTTAGCTTCCAATGCCGCTATCAACCAAAGACGAGCGTTTCCAGTCAAAAATCCTGCCGCGTAGTCGACCCTCTGTGCCGCATTTGGGAGCGCCAACGACCGTAGGGCCATGTCCATTGCAAACGTCCATTCTTTGAATGTAGCGGAATCTCCTCCAAACACAGGCGGCTCTTTCGTAAGGCGGGGTGTTGGCTCCCACGGTTCCGAGTTCGGATGTATCGTTCGGTTTCCTTGGCTAACGCGCTGAGCGGTCTTGATATCGTTTATCAGCCGAACGACGAGTACGAGGAGCGTAAGCAGAGCGACCAGAACACCTGCCAAAAGCAGAGTAGGAACCATCCTCTGCTACCAGTGTAACAGGTTTAATCAAACTTGAAAAGTAAGAGGCCTGGTTGAGCGCGCCTCGACCAGTTATATGCAAAATGTGATAGTATACATGTGGCAATGGCGCCAATGAAGGTGCTAATAGACAGGCGTAAGACGCATGAGGTGCGAGGGAGTGTAAAGTTATAGAGAACAGGGGAAAACTGTTACATTTGTACTGAGTGCGCAGCTTGCTCTATTTATTGCGTTGATTACATTTTTATCTCCACGTAAGCTTTTTGATAATAATAATAATAATAATAATAATAATAATTTTACAAGAAGTCGGAGGCGGATAATACTTTAATAACGAAGGTACGTGTTGGGTCGTAAGTATCCACGCAAACACACATCCAGTCAAAATAAGGCACTTGTCAAAGTATCCGAACGTTTTCGGTCCCTTCTCATCAAGGATTATGCAGGGAATGGCTC